TATTTGAAGAAATTTCTTCCACAAACGTAAATAACAGATATATTTTATAAAATATAAAAATGACCACCTATAAAGTACCCCCCAGATGTTCCGACACTGACCAAAATCTAATCAGCACATTGGACGCTGGAACAAAGCTTAAGTTTGAAATTTGGTGTTTTTCTGTGTATCGGTTCATGAGTTATGCGACACACAGACACACAGACACACAGACACACACACACACAGACATCATCGCGAAAATAGTCAAAACGGATTCAGGGGACTTCAAAACGTAAAAATCCGTCGAAAACTCGAGGTCGAAAAAAATCATGATTCCTATACTTTCCTTATATCTGTATACATATAGGAAAGTAAAAACAAATTAAAAAACTGAAGTGTCCTGCTGACTTTGTTTCAACAAAGCACCCTGTATTATTTAAAAATAGCAATTTTTTTAGTAAAGTTTTACAATATTTCAAGAGTCTAAAAATATTCTAAAAATGGGGTGTGGTTTTTAAAAAAAAGCTTTAAAAAATCGAATTGCTCTGCTGGCTTCTTTCGAAGGTTAGCAAGTACTATGTATTTTTTAAAAATATCATTTTATTTTGAAAAAAAAAAATGATAATATTTTAAGTGCATAAATATATGGTATTGCTGTTTTTACAAAAAACACTTTATAAAACAGAGGTGTTTTGCTGACTTCGTTCGAAGCTATCAGAGCATTTTAAGTTTTGCACAAAAGGAGGAGCATAAAATTTTTGAAAAGGGTATAAAAATAGCCCAAAAATATGGCATGTTTTAACTCAAAATTTCATAGGTGCTCTGCAGCATTCTTTGGTATCATAATTATTACTAGGTTCACTAACAAAATCTATTTCAAGATTATTTTAACACTTGCTGCGATTACAAAAAATGTCTCTTTATATGTCAAAATTAGAAAAAAAATATTTATATGAATAAATGGCCTTATACACTGTTTATTACATGTGATATAAAAACAAAAAAGAATAATAAATATTACAAATCTTGAGATGCAGCATATCCTAAGCATTGTGCATTAAAAATTTCATTTTTGTTAATTACAACAACCACCTCATAAGGTTTTTGCCGTACTTTATGTTTAGGTGTAATTTGTCTCCTTCTCTCTTATGGAAAAAGTAATTATCTCCATATTCTTGCTTGGCAGATCTAAAAATTAAACCTGAGATAAATATGTTTTACTATAAGGTGTATTGCTCCATATAAACTGTAACTACCTATTAAAACAAATTATAAAGAAAGTCTTACCTTTCTGTCTTGTGTAAACTGAGTATTGTTAAATAATGCAGTAATCATCTCGGTAATCATATTTTCGTTTAGAATGGGTAAAACACTTGATTCAACTTTATAAACCCAGCTGATAAATTAATAATAAAATTAAACCAAAACAAAAAACTAAGGTTAGGTGTTAGGTGGTGTCAATTTTAATGTCACTTAGATGTGCGTTCACTTCGACATTCTGTGTGTCGGTTTGTTCGTTGGCTTGGTTTTGTATAACAAAAAAAACTTCGACACAAGATGATTGGTCTATTCCCGATGACGTATAATTTCAAATTTTAAATTTCAATTGGGCTTAATTTAAAAACTTTTGGCTTTTTTAACGAACTGACTATTTAGAATAACTTGTATAGCGACTAACTATTACAATATAATTTATAAAACAGCATATCTCACATGTGAACATGGCCCATTGTATTTAAAAATAATAATAATAATAGAAACACGGGGGCGTCCATTAAATACGTGAGGTATTTTTGAGGATTTTTTTGACCCTGCTCCCCCCTGGTGAGATTTTGTAAGATTTTCCTCAACTCCATCCCCCTCCCCTAATCTTACGTGAGATTTTTCAAAATTTGTGTTTTGGATGTAAATGCGTTGGATTACTAAAAAAAAAACAATAGTGTAGGTTTTGATAAATGAGTTAGACATCTCACTATAATATTAAAACTTTATTTAGACCTCAAAAAAGTATAATAATAAAACGTATTGACAGTCTTCTTCGTCAGTACTGCTGCGTAACAATATGATACCTAACCACAGTTTATTATTAAAGAATCAGTTAGCTCACTTGGACCAGTTGAATGTTCCAAAATAATATCCACTCCAGGGATACAAATTCAGTATGTGCAGAAGACTGCTGTTTGATTGAATATAAGCGGTTGTCATATATTGTATTGGTTATGATTTGATTCTGTATGCGCCAAGGATACAAATCCGAGTTGCGCAGTGTATAAACTGGAACATTGAGATCAAAAGTGCCGACGCAAAGTGAGCGAACTGATTCTTTAGCTATAAACTGTGACCTAACATTGGGTTTTGTAGTTAAATGAAAATTTGTAGATGAAAATATTCCAGGATATTTTTAGTATCAACATTAAATAGTTTAGGTGAAATGACTTTATTTTTGCATATATTTTTTTTCCAATTGAATCTAATGAAGTTTTACTATCGATTATTTTAGAATTTTTAAAATCCAAAATTAGGCCAAAATGTGTTATAAAATCTGCACCTAAGATTGGTTTGGTTACATTAGCAATGGTAAAAATCTGATGTGTCCAACACATGACTTTCCTATCTAGTTATTACAGGCTTTTTCCGTTTATTGTGTACAACCTATTGCAGCATCTCTATAAATGTTTAGAGGATAAAGTAAATATATACATTGTCCACATACATCTACCGCGAAACATTTTTCTATAGATATTCATTGAAAATGAAAATACTGAAAAATTTAAATTTAGCACTTTTCCTACAATTTTTCCACTAAGGTCTATTTAAAAAAAATCATGTATGAACAAATATTATAGAGATCGATATCGCAAACAACTTTTATTTCAACAATTTTCATAAAAATCAGAATTTTGCACATTTTGTCAAATTTCTCGAATACGGACCATTTCAGGAAATTTTTACATAAGGCAAAAATTATAGATAATAATATTGGAAGTAACTTTTATTTGAACAATTTTCTTCTCCAAACATAAATAACAGATATATTCCATAAAATATATAAACGGCCTCCCATAAAGTACCCCCCCAGATGTTCCGACTTTGTCCAAAATCTAATCATTTCACGTCAGGCCGAAATAAAACTTAAGTTTAAAATTTATTGATTTTTTCTTTATCCGTTTTTGAGTTTTCTTCAAATTTCGAAATTTACACATTTTCTCAAATATCTCGAATACGGTCCATTTTAGAGAAATTATCTATGGGACAAAAATTATAGAAAATTATATTACAAACAACTTTTGTTTGAACAATTTTTATAAAAAAAAATATTTTTTTACATTTTGTCAAATTTCTCGAATACGGACCATTTTAGGAAAATTTTGTAAATAACAAAAATTATAGATAATAAAATAAGAAGTAACTTTTATTTAAAAAATTTTCTTCCCCAAACGTAAATAACAGATATATTCCATAATATAAAAAAATGACCACCTATAAAGTACCCCCCCAGATGTTCCGACTCTGCCCAAAATCTAATCTGCTCATTGGACGCTGAAACAAAGCTTAAGTTTAAAATTTGGTGTTTTTTTGTGTATCGGTTCATGAGTTATGCGTTATACAGACACACACACACACACACACACACACACACACACACACACACACACACACACACACACACACACACACACACACACACACACACACACACACACACACACACACACAGACACACACACACACAGACAGACAGACAGACAGACATCATCGCGAAAATAGTCAAAACGGATTCAGGGGACCTCAAAACGTAAAAATCCGTCGAAAACTCGAGGTCGAAAAAAATCATGATTCCTATACTTTCCTTATATCTGTATGCAGATAGGAAAGTAAAAAGGAAAGGAGATATTCTTCGTAGTCCAACATCTATATTGAGGAATTTTTTTCCATATGTATGAATTGCATTGCTGGAAGCTGAAGAAAGAATAAATTCTTTATCCATTGTACCTTTAAAAATTCTATTTGGAACTACACTTACATCGGCTCCTGAATCTACCAAAAATTCTAAATTGTTATTTTTATCGAAAAGGAAAAGTCTTTTAAAAGATGTATCACCTATGCTACCTAATGTTGATTTAACTCGTTTATTGGATTTGAAATTTTAAGAGAGTCGTACATTAAACAAGAAGAACCTGCACATTTGAATGCGTCCTTTCTATATCTACTGTGATAATAACATAAAGGATCAGTAGGTTAATTTTCTTTATTGAATTTACGAGGGTGTTTATTCCTGCTCTTAGACCTTGAAGAATGTCTACAAGAGCAGGCTTGTTTAGAATCCCTACGAGACATGTGATCGAAAACTTTATTTTCTAACGAAGTAATTTTAATATCTAATTCGTCTTGTTTTCTATTAAATTCTTTCATCATAATTTGAAAATTCTTGTTTAAATTGTTTATTGCTTGGGCCAAATTTGAATTATCTTTTTCTTTAGTAATATTGATTTCGTCTTTGTTGTAATTGGAATTAAAAACGCTGGATGACAGAAAACGATTCCCAGATTTTATCAGCTATATCTAGTAGATCTTTGATTATAGTCTTATCAGATACGGTTAAGGATATATCTATAAATTTTGGGAGTCTCGTTCTCCAGATTTTTAATAATAAATTTTTAATAATAATGGAATCTTCTGAAAATTTTATTAATTCTCTATAGAAATCTGAAGGTTTTCTATCTCCCATTTTGGCTTTTGAAAGGAGTTTATCTAATTTCTTCTCTTCAGAGAGTGAAAGTCTGTTAATAATCGTTTCTTTTAAAACGGAAAAGGCATTACTCTCTGGAGGATCTTAGATTATGTCATAAACTTTAATGAATAGATGTGCTACAGATAAGTTAAATTTACTTTTTTCTGAATTGATCTTATAGATGAAAAATTGACTTTCGAGTTATCTCCCCCCCTCTCCCCCAAGTGAGATTTAGCTTGATTTCCTCCCCCCTTGAACACCTCACGTAATTAATAGACGCCCACCAATAGATACTTACAGTAACTGCTGCACTATTAGTTAAGACGAAGAATGGTCCTACAGAAAGTGTTAAAGGATTTTGCGCTCTCATCATGATTATTAATAAATATTGTTTAATTTTTTGTGAAAGATCATACCATTTACAGTCATATACTGCTTGTGATACGCCCATGCTCTTAAACAAATTTCAAATACATTTTTAGTTTTTCAAAAATTTATTTCATTTAAAAATATATTTTTATGATCTTATAGAAATTCCATAAATACGGAATGTCTCAGCTGTTAGTTTACAGTCTCTAACTACTCACTCTGTATATTAACCAGAAATAGAGCCTGTTAGCGGATAAGTGCTAACCAAGCGCGGCCAGAATTTTCCTGGTAGATATAAGCAAAGTGGGAGAGCCTAAAAATACCTAAAAATTTTTGGAAAGGCGACTGCCGCGAACTAACTCCCCCAGTCTAAGGTAAACTGTATCATTCCGATGAATAAATTGCCGCTGGGGATACTTGGCACCACTTTCTTGTATCTAGTCTTGCCGGCGCATGCGGGGCTCTGCCTCGACCGACCCTTCTTTCACTAGCTACTCGCTAGAAACTGATGGATTTAAACCCAGACAAATTCAAAAAGGCTGGACATCAATGTTCACCTTTAGCCAAGGTTGATGGACGTCAATGTTCACCTTCAGTAAAGAAGACTGGACAGCTTAGTTCAACTCCAGTACAGGAGGCTGGACAGAGATGTCCACCTTCAAAATACGAAGATGGTCATCATAGTTCACTTCAAACCGACAGACATTAGAGATACAAGAGTAACTTTGGTTCTGAAACAAAGAGGAAGAAGAAGACTAAACTAAAGGCAAGCACAGCTAGGGCAACTACCACCGGTAGGACACGTTCTCACTGCAAATTCAATCTAAGCAACTCAATCAAGTCTTTGAGTACCGACGCTAGTTCTGTCTTCACAAGAGACCAGGAACACGACGCAATCCAGGAGGTAAGTAATAAAAGAATTAAAAATAATTATATAATGTAACTCGCATCTCAAAAAGGTGGCTATGGCAACTTTATGCCGCTGCCATGGTGAGTTGCAAGATGTAGTAGCATTCAAAATTATAGGTCTAAAAAATCTAAATGTTAAAATTTTTAGCTTTCCCAGCAACCAACAAGCCAGGACAGCCATTTACATTCCAAGAAAATATATAGCCTCACTGGCACAGGTTTCCACCTCCGATTTAACTGAGGTTAGGATGATACATATATCAAGAGACAAAAGAAAACGTAGATCCTTGCATTTGCATAGTTCCCCTCCAACTCAACCTAGCAAAGAGTTGAAGGATCTAATTGAATACTACCTAAACCAGAAGTTTTAGTGGTAATAGGTTGCGACTCAAATGCTCATCACATCAGTTAAGAATAACAACGCTAGAGTCACGTCAGTGTGTGATTATATAATTACCAAAAATATTTGTTTTTTTAAATAAAGGTACTACACTAACATTTTTAAACTCTCGCAGCCAAACACTGTCACTGTCCTGGTGATTTTTTTCACCATTCCTGAGATGTTTTAAACATTCACTGCTTTGTGCATGTTTTGATAGTTGTCTTTGTGCTACCACAGAAGGATTGTGGGCCAATAAGAGCCTTTGGACTAGTAAATCTGCCGCGTCATTGTCCATATGTTCTCTGTGGCTTGGTACTTAGGCTAAGGTTAGCCTGTTTTGTCTACCCAGCTCTGTTGGGGCTTTCAAACAGTTCCACACAAGCCTTGAGAACTGAGTGCTTTAAACATCGATTGACTGTCTAAGTATATGACAATGATTTTTATTTTTATGACTTAATATATCTGTTGCGCAGTGATGTATTGCTGCTATTTCTGCCTGGAACACTGTCGCATGTTTACCTAAGCTCAGTGAAATTCTTGTATTTGGTACTATAATATATACCTAATCTGAACCTTCTTGGGTCGTATACCAGGTGAATTTTGCGTGAATAGGATGTTCTCTCGTCTACGCGTAAAAGAAAAGCTGAGACACCCAGTATATATTAGACACACTTTTACTTCCTCCCATGTGCATTTATATTAAACATCTATCAGTTCATTAATATTAAGGAATTTATTAAATAATTGGGCTGATCACATTTGAATTTTTTTTTTTTTTTTCAATTAATGTACTTACGTAAATTTGAATTTCATTTCCATGCCATGTTAACACAAATATTTGAAGAACCATACAAAAAAGCATAGCTATTCTAAATGGCAGCATGGTATCTAATTTAAACTGTAAAAAAATAGATATATTTGTAGATTCATTAATATTTAAAGTATGTATTTCATCTTACCACTAATATTTGATATAAGCCCGAAGTAATTTGAATTGGATTTATTGTAAATTCTAAGAATAATAAATATTTCATATTATCATCTAATTCTTTGACGAATCTACAACAAAATACATTCATAATATAGATAGAACATTTAAAATTAACTATAATTAGATTTTAATTAATACTAAATAATAATTATGCGGTCTTCATAATGTAAGAAATACATAGCTTATTTACGTTATCGCCGTTTAGCCGTTCGCATTATGAGAAATTTCTAGAAATTGGTGGATATGTTCTCGGGTGTTCAAAGATTTTTGACAATAAAATGGTGGAATATTGGGGATCATAGACAAATAATTTATATCTTGATTTATGTTCTGTCCATATTAATAGTTAATACGATTTGATGATTAAATTATTAACCATAATTTTTATATCTCGTTCCTAAATATTTTTTTTAAGAATTATTATAATAATTTACATTATTTTTATGTTTTTTTCGAGGTTTATATACCCATTTGATTAGATAATTTAAGTGATATAATCCTGATAGCTTAGTTTATAGAGCGTTCAATTTTTTCAACTGAGATAGTCGCGGTCGTGTCGCGACGCGGGTTCAATTCATCATATAAAAATTGAAAAAATACGACTATTGTTGTTTATTTATTTTAAATACATTTTATTTATTATAATATTGTTTAAATTTTTAGTTGATTTAGAACCATACACGTTAAGTGAATTCTTACACTCATAATACTTGTAATGCATGAAATGTGTAATGTTGTAGATTCTTCTTTAGTGGCCCTATTTTGTTTTATGTCATTGTAGCAGACTTTTGAAATAAAAATTTGTTATTAATATTATCCCTTACAGTAAATCTTTTCGCTATTTTGATAACTGTTCAGAAAAATTGTAAGTGGATGAGTGAGTAATTATCTTTATTAATAAAGAAAATAATTATTTGTCAGTCACATCTTGATTTTCTATTTTTTTTTGATAAGTTTTTTGTAACTGTAGGAAAAGTGATTTTTCACATTCGTAATGTAATATACTATTTCAAACTTTTAATTTAATTAAGGGTCAATTTTTTCACCTCTGAGTACATTTACAGATTCAAATATAATAGCCCTATAGTTAATGTTAATATGTAACGCTAAAATACCCCTTTGTGTCATCTGTCAAATTGTCAGTTGTAATCTTTCATAAAAAATGTGGAATATGGTCTCAGATAAAAATATGGTTGACGAAATGATGTTCATGTAATGTTCATAATAAAAGGTTAAGAAAAAAGGAATCCAAAGTTTTTATTGGTAATCAATAAATTATATTAAAAGTTCAATCAGCAAGTAGTTACTTTCAACTTTACTCAGAGGGGAAAAGATTGACCTTACTGTTTTTATGAACAATAAAGCTAATATAAAAGGAAAATATATTTAATAATACTTACGAAATAATCGTTTGATGTTCAACTATCAAATTTCGTAGATAATAAAATTTCTCTTCTTCGGTACTTTTCTGAGAACAAACAAACCCATAATTTCGGAATTTAACTTGGAGAATCTTCAGTTGACAAATTATAAACGTGAATATAGTTAAATAAACCATCTGTGTAGACGTGTTGTACGTACAACCAATAGATGCCGTCACAATGTCCAACATAAATGCAGCGAAGTAATGTTCTTTGGAATTAATTGGACGCCATATGTAAATGGGTAACGGTTTCAGAATTTCAGTTTCGTTTATAAGTCCTAAAGCTGCTTGGTTTAAAGAGTGTTTATATATCGCGAGCTTACAGATAACAATAGTTACGCCACACATGCCAGAGAAGAAAAATAAAGTCAAACAGAAAATTGTGTTGTATCTAACAAATGAATAATAGATTTTCAAATTTCCTTCATCTAATTTGTCTAGTTTTTCATCATTTTTTATAATTTGGGCCAATATTCGAGCTACATTCTGTCTCTGACACATGATTACTTTTATAAGCACGACTAAGCAGAATAATATGAGTCCCAATGCATCTATTTTTTCGATGGGCTGTATTGCGTACCTCAATCCTATAACAAGACTTACTACAAAACAGGCAAAGTATATTTGCCAAAATAAACCATACACTTTATACCATAAATTTTGCTGTTTGCTTAATAATCCTTCCTCAAATTTCCAAATTCCAGTTATGACCATTACGGTTCTAGCGAGTGTAATGTGTTTCATGCTAAAAAAAAATATATTTTTAAAGTTTAGTAATTTTCTACTAACCGTGCTAAGTGCTAAAACAATCAGAACTAATAAATAATGAGGGAGATACTGAATTAATCCAGATTGCATTACATAATAATAGTATATCACCAAATATCTTTAAGGAAACCTGAGAACAAATCAAAAAGTAAAATGAAGAACGATTTTACATAATTTATCTACTATTGATAAAAAATCTACGACACATTAGAGAAAAAAAGTTGCTGGAACAGGACCGACGCTAGGTGCGGGCAAGCCGGGCCCCTAGCCAGATCGGCAACCTTAGAGGGCGGTAAATGGGAAGTAAAAGTAACTAGGTTATAGAGAAAATGACTAAACTAATTTATTTAAATAATCATCAGAGAGAGCACGAAAGGTTTTTTATTAGTAAAGTTAACATGAATGGACTTAAGTTCATTGAGCCTATTTCTCCATTGATTCGTC